TCATACGGCGACCAAACTCGACATGAGTTCTCTTACGATAGAAAATACGGTCGCCGACTGCGATCGCGCAGAATAGAACATGTTCTATTTCTATGCGGCTGTCGCGCGACAAATCGTGAGTGGCAGCCAATCACCGCAGCGTGTCGAGTCACATGATTATCAAAAGTCACGTGATTAATATAATGGCAGCCTACACAGCACTCGTCAGCAGTTTACAAGGAGGGATTATTGCACAAACCCTTTCTCAAATATATATTAAGTTTTTCGTATATCACATAAAAAAAAGTTCTGCATATGATTATAACGATGTCAGAAAATTGAGGATAGATTTACGAAGTTACATGATGTTTACTGGTAAGCGCCATTTTGTTGGTCACGTACGTGAATTGTTTTATGTAGACTGGTCCTGGCGTCAAGCTTGCTCTGTTTGTGCTAAAGAACTGCTTTGTGCTAGTACAAATACTGCGGGCCGCGAACTTGTCTACGTTTTCTCATGCGGGGAACGCTACGCCGTCTCAATTCTAATTGGCGATGTGCCAGCGTAGTCACTTATCAGTCGACATGAGTGTTGCTACGCTGCTAATCGGCGCTAAAGTAGTCGCCGATAGTCAAATCGTAGGCCGACCTGAGCGAGCCTTTAAGCTAGCTACACCGTATTCGGCCTACTCATGTCGATGTTCGCTCCAAAACAACAACGTCAACGGACAGATTCACAAGTTGTATGTATATTAATAATTATACATTAATATTAATAATATGAATAACAATTTTAAACATATAACTTCCCTGGCCTCAGACACTGAGACTGAGAGTGAGACAGGAGACCTAGCAAACAAACGACAAATCCACAAACAAATGATCAAGCACAAAATTAGTAGTACTACTACTAGTACTAGTAGTAGTAGTAGTAGTAGTAGTACACGAATACATACAGAAACAATCGCAAACACAAGGCAAGAGACTGCGCAGGTTGTAGCACTAGTAGGGGTAAATAATCTCAAACAGAATAACTAGCTCTAGTCTAGAACTATACTCCGCTCCGCTCCGCGGCAGGTCCAGCGGAGAGCTATAGTTCTAGTCTCTAGAGCTACAGACTACATTAGCTCCAAGAAAACGGTTATCGCTAGGTAGGATTGCTATAAGACAATCCGTCGCACAGCCTTGCTCGGGGCTACACGGACTACAAGAGTACACAGTACAGAATACCAGAAATTGAAATTAGATTGAAAATAAGCAACAAGCTAGGTCACACACACCGTGACCATGGCTAGCTATAGCCCTGGACGTTTATTCCTTACGAACTGTCCAGCTGAGTTTAGAAGTTAGTAGAAGTAGAAGAAGTAGAACAACTGATTACACTGCCACTGGAAATCCGACGTGAGTGACCCGTTGACCCCCGTAAACTGCGGAATCCCACAAAGCATCCGCGTGTCGATATCATCACTCACTGGTACCCGACCGGTGCCGGCTGCTCTACACTCGAGTAGTTAGAGCTCAGCGTGCAGGAGCTCACGCCAGACCCCAGGGTACCCGGATAGCTCAGATGTACGTCCAATTTAACTTACGATGAGCACCGCTGAAAGTGGCACATGTTGTTTTAACTTTCATTATGTGGTCTAATGCGGCAAGAGGCGATAGGGAGCCAGTCTAGCTTAAAACTGTACTTCGGGCTATTTGCGAGGAGTTACGCATTTCTAGGAAAAAGTGACAGAGTAACGTTTCCTCCTCGAGATCTCTTCATCTGAACTCTGATATTTTCTTCGGTGTACAATACTATATTTGAGAAGGGTAAACTATATTATGGTAGCGCTTCGCCTTTCAACTGGGACAAGTAAACGGAAATATCACTAATCGAGCATAATATCATATGTGTGAAACTTGCCTAAACGTTAAGTACCGTACTGCTGCGTACGGCAATTTGGCATTGAACTGGTAAACCATACGAGTTTTGTCAACTGTTGTCTGTTGCTGCGAATGAGATTTAAAAAATTTAATTTCGCTTCAACTTCCAGAGTTGATTACGTATAAGCCAGCCACACGCATATATCGAATAGTTTGATTCAATAAGTAAGCGTTCCATCAGCACATCCTTTTTGTGAGATGCACTTTTATTTGGCTTCAATGGCTTTATAAACATATACAGCGCTGACCAACAATTCATTGCGACAATGTGCGACAATCGGCAAATATGGAAGCATCTCTTATAACCCTTGGGCCTCCTCTACTATTAGAAACTACATAGCCTTATTCGTGGCTTCTATTACAGCGTGCATATGAAACTAAGCATAATCACACTGCAGCCAATGAGCCACATGGCACAACAAAAAAATGTATGCATTGCCCTCAGGAGCTGAAGCCATGCGATATTTTCAGATTTTCGTCCCTTCCTTTGCCTTGGAAGTGCGTCACTACTGTGCCAAGTGGATAGAAGACCAGCAATGGTAAAATTAAACACGATTACACAAACAGTTTTGCTAAGTATATTATTACTCATAGCGACGACCTCACTCGTGCAGATTTTCGTATCGGCCTCTGCGATGTAAGCCGTTCTGCAGGCATTAGAAGCCACGATCAATAAGAGATTGCGAATCGACTGAGACTCGATTAAGAAAGATCTCTCGTCCCTCCCATCCCATCCCATCCAACCATCCATCCATCCATCCATCCATCCATCCATCCATCCATCCATCCATCCATCCATCCATCCATCCATGTATCTATATCTCGATATCTTTTTGTATAAATGGTTTTGTCATTTTCGCACGTTATTCAGGAGGTGAACAATGGCCTGGATGGACTCCAGCAACACCAGGAGATGTGCAACCTGCAGGTCCAGCAGTTTGTGCGAACCAAAGGTACAGCATGGCCACTAGGGCATACCTGCATTGTTATGTAATATTAGCATGCAGTAAGTCCGTTCAGTGATCTCCTCCCCTGGTATTTTCAAGAGGCTGCAACCACTCTTACCTGATCGCTATCAATGTCTTCACAGAAAGTGTGGAGAGGAAATAAAAAGTGTGAAAGGATAAAAAATGGAATGGATAAAAAGTGCGGAAAGGTGTGGAAAGGATAAAAGGTGACTAACCTCTCTTACATATCCATCTCGTACGTACACGATGCAACACTATTTCGTCATGGTACCATCCACCTTCTGAAGATATCCTTCCGACTTCTGCCCTTGCCAGCGTAACTTTTCACTACGGTGTGTAGGTCTTAGCATGAATCGAGTTCAGTGTGTGACCGAGAGTGACTTCTGCTTGTATTGCTGTTGCAGCACAGCTAGAGAAGTGGACGCAGCTCGTGCAGGCTCAGCCAGAGTACACCAGCAAGCTAGAGCAGGGCAAGCAGGAGTATACTACACTGTACCATAACGTGTTGAGCCAGCAGACGAGAATACGCAGCGAGCGACTGGTATGCTAACGTGTTGACGCTAAAAAACGTTCGCGTGCACGCATGTTTACACGCATCCACGCAGACACAACAACAAAAATTGCTCGAATGCACACATAGCCAGCGAACCGTTTATCTATGTATGCAGACACCGAAAGTGCTTACGTATGCAGGTAGACAGCAGAACTGCTTGCGCAGACCCACAGACAACGGCAACAGGTGGGCGGAGATGTCATCATGATCTCCATGCCGTGTCGATCAACAATAATTTTTAATACGGAGTAACGCCTTGCTTGTCGACGACTCCTGCGTTCGGATGTTCCCGGGATAGTTACCATGGAACGGAGCCGCCTACCCTTTCGATTTTGCATTTACACAATGCGAGGTCAATTTTGACAGCTCTTGTAGAACTGAGCTGGCGACCCATGTCCAATTTAACATTTATACAACGGTCAATTTTGACAGCTCTGGTAGAACTGAGCTGCCGACTCTTGTCCGAGTTCGCATTCACACAAAGGTCAATCTTGACAGCTCTGGTTGGTAGAACATAGCTGTCAACTCTTGTCCGAGTTCACATTTACGCAAAGGTCAATTTTGACAGCTCTGGTAGAGTGGTCACTGATGACTAACGGCTGTTGTAGGAGATTGCGGTCAAGCAGAGCGAGATGCTGACCCAGCTGGACGAGCTGCAGACGTTCGTCGAACAGGAGCTGGAGCGGTGGAAGGCCAAGCAGAAACAAAAGAGCATCGGCATGGTGGTGGACGAGAGTCTCGACCAGACGCAGCAGTGGTATGCGCGTGCACGACGTCGCGATCGTTTCGCCAAAATAACGTAAAAACAAACAAACAAACAAATGAGTTTAAAAACAAAGGTGGCCTTCTGCATGTCCATAGGAGCGAGTGAAGTTTGTAGCCGGTGTTCTTGGCCTACCGTGTTCCTTGTCCTTTATTTTTCTCATCTTGCGCCGTTTTCACCCACTGCTACTTCTTCTCTAGTTTTCTCTCCCAGTTTCATCCTTCTCCTTCTCACCCCCTACATTGCCTTTCTCTCTCATCCCAGAACCCCCTTCTTCCCACCCCCTACATTGCCTTTCTCTCTCATCCCAGAACCCCCTTCTTCCCACCCTCTACATTGCCTTTCTCTCTCATACCAGATCCCCCTTCTTCCCACCCCCTACATTCCCTTTCTCTCTCGTTCCATGTCCCCCTTCTTCCCACCCCCTACATTGCCTTTCTCTCTCGTTCCACGTCCCCCTTCTTCCCACCCCCTACATTCCCTTTCTCTCTCGTTCCATGTCCCCCTTCTTTCCACCCCCTACATTGCCTTTCTCTCTCGTTTCACGTCCCCCTTCTTCCCACCCCCTAGATTGCTTTTCTCTTTCATTCCAAGTCCCTGTTCTTCTCACCCTCTACATTGCCGTTCTCTCTCGTTCCACGACCTCCAACTAATTGCAGGTGTGAGCAGCTGGCCTACTACACGTGGACGTGTCGGCAGTCGATACTGAAGGCGGACGGCATACGTAAGATGACTGCCACTGGAAATCCGACGTGAGTGACCCTTGACCCCGTAAATGCGAATCCCACAAAGCACCGCGTGTCAGATATCATCCTGGTACCCTGGGTCTGGCGTGCTCTACACTGAGTAGTGTAGAGCTCAGGTGCAGAGCACGCCAGACCCAGGGTACCCGGATAGTCAGATGTACGTCGCATGTAACTTAGATGAGCACTCGTGGTAAATGGCACATGTTGTTTTAACTTTCATTATGTGTCTAATGCGCAGAGGCGATAGGGAGCCAGTCTAGCTTAAAACTGTACTTCGGGCTATTTGCGAGTTTACGATTTCTAGGAAAAGTGCACAGAGTAAGTTTCCTCCCGAGATCTCTTATCTGAATCTGATATTTTCTTCGTGTATAATTATTTGGAGAAGGTAAACTATATTATGTAGGCTTCGCTTCAACTGGGACAGTAAAGGAAATATCACTAATCGAGCCATAAATCATATGTGTGAAACTGTAACGTAAGTACCTACTGCTGCGTACGGCATTGGCATTGGTAAACATACGAAAGTTTGTCAACTGTTGGCTGTTGCTCGGAATTGAGATTAAAAATTTTTAATTTCGCTTTCAACTTCCAGAGTGATTACGTATAAGCCAGCCACACGATATATCGTAATAGTTTGTATTCAATAAGTGAAGCGTTCCATCAGCAGCATCTGTTTTGTGAGTGCACTGTTTTATTTGGGTTCATGGCTTTATAAAATATAAGCGCTGACCACAATTCATTTGCGAAATGTGCGACATGAGCAAATATGGACAGCTCTTATATCCTTGGGCCTCTCTTATATTATGAACTACATAATTATTCTGGCTTTATTACAGGTGCATATGAGCTAAGCATAATCACACTGCAGCCATGGCACAACAAAATAAGATGTATGCATTGCCTCAGGAGCTGAAGCAGCGATATTTTCAGATTTTCGTCCCTTCCTTTCCCTTGGAAGTGCGTCACTACTGTGCACAGTGGATAGAAGACCAGCAATGGTAAAATTACACGATTACACAAGAGTTTTTGTAAGATATATTATTACTATTAGGACGACTTCACTCGTGAGATTCCGAATCGGCTCTGCGATGTAAGCCGTGTCTGCAGGATTAGAGCTCGGATCAATAAGAGATTCGAATCGATTTGAGATCGATTAGAAGTTCGAATTAGAGGTCAGATCTATTAGAGGTTCGAATTAGAGGTCGGAGTGATCGGATCGCTGACGTGGCTGTGTGTGCGTGTATTGTAGGTTTATGCCCGAGCTCGACCCGAACCATCCGCTGTGCGACCAGTACGCGTCGCGTCTTGTAAACATGCTCGTCGACCAGATCCGGAACCAGAGCGAACAGATACGCAACAATGGCGACCACATGCCGTTCGCCATGGCACTGCAGCGATGCGCGCAGACGGTGAAGGTACGTCACACATGTTGTGCAGTAGACTCTTAAAGCATAGAATGCCGGTCGCAGTACATTATTGCCTTGTAGTATGTGTATGGTACATTATAGTGTGCAGTAGTATACAGAGTGTATTACGCAAGGTACATCTCTAAGACGGTGTTTAATATGTAGGGTGTAGTGTGCGAGTGCGAAAGATTACGCCGTATATTCGCATATAGTTTTTGTGTGTTGTGCACGTATTTCATGTCTGTTGGCGCCTGTTGGTTATAATTTCACACAATAATTTCACATTTAATAGGACGTATGTGCCATCCCAATGTAATTATTAAAGTTTGTGCTGAAATAAGGCCTTGATTTTTTATGTATTTAAGACCAGGTGCACTAATCTAGTGGTTAAAGGAATAATATGGCCATTGATTATGCAATGTTGACGAATGCTAGAGTAACTGGCACCTTGTGTAGTTAATAAAGACATTACCGTATAGCCAAACGCGTATTAGTTTGTCCAATATCAGTCACTGCTGGTTACATTACAAGCAAGACTTGAAATCGGTTGTTGATATTCATTTACGTGCCGTAAATGTCATCAAGGAGTCAAGCGATAAGTTGTCGATGACGTAAACATTTGTGCGGCCCGTATGTTTTGGACACCAGATGAAATGGAGGTGTCAGCTGTGTAACCACGGCCACGGACTAAACATGGAAATGGAGTAAAACACACGTACTAATCACGGACGCACATGGACAGCTCTGACAAAAAGTCCCTTATCACGAGCGTCCGTGTTTATGAAATCACTGATGATAGCATTGCGTACGGCCGAGCATGCGTGCGAAAATGTCCGGTGCACTATAGTATAAATCTGTATCACACCCGCTTCGCTCGCAGCAATTTGAAAGTGAAACTGTAAACTGTAAACATTTCTTGGACTGCGGATGTTCAATTAGACATTCTTAGTAACGCAGCCGAGTGATATTGAGCAAACTACACGGCGTTTGGCTATAAGGTAATGTAACTTTTCTTCTTTTTTTTGAAACTACACAAGGTGCCAGTTACTCTAGCATTCGTCAACATTGCATAGTCAATGGCCATATTATTCCTTTAAGGCTATATAGCAGTTTTCGTGTAATATCTTGCGTGTTAAATTCTCGTAGATGATTTCATGTCGAGACCGATGGACCTGGTCAGAGTCATACAGAACCATCTGACCACTGAAAGACACATTCTTGAAAAGCAGAGAAAATGTGAGTCGGCATTCTTTATACTCCTAAATCTTAATCTGTGCACGTTGCTCAATTTACACAAACATCTTTATGTAATGTCATCGTACTGACTTCTAGTGTTTGATGTTCTTAGCCCATGATGGCTGACCAGGCGATGGAAAGCCAGGACACGGAGGATGAGTCACAAAAGGTCCAGCAGACATTTGAAATTCTAAAAACAAGGATGCAGGTAACGTTTCTCCCCAGATGTCTTTCTAGCTTGTTAAGGCAAGTAACCAACGGTACAGAGAACGGCTATCTTTCCTACGTCTTTTCGATACTAATATTATATGAAATGGTAATATATGTATCAATATAATAGTGCCCATAGTGTGTGCATATTAAAGGGCGGATCTACATTGGCCCTTACCACATAGCATGCTAGTGGTTTTTGCACAAGAAAAAGTCGAGCAGCAACGTCTACTATTGGGTGGCGGAATGCTCTGATGATTGTAAATTTGATTGAATTATGTATAAATTTAGTGTGGGCCCAGCAGTTTTTAGACGAGTCAATCCAGAATATGCATTTCAATTGTTAGCAATGTTGCTGCCAGTGTGTATGCACTGTGTTATATTTGTTTGAAACGTCGCAAAGATCTAATGCTCATGTCAACAAGGTACATTCCATTGTTGGCTGGATATATTTGATAAAGCATGGTAAGTGTAGGATACAGCCCAGTCATGAATATATAGGAAAGTAGTTAATATTGCAAGCTGACCGATATGCTTCCTGCTTGTCTATAAGTACCCTCATTCGTGTTCTTAGTAGGTCACAAAGAGCTTCCTGTGTCAGTTCTTTGTGCAATGGGCAGGCTGTAATTGGTGTTATGCCAAATGCTGCGTCATATGCTGCTTAGTACCAATTGTGTATATGTGTATGCGTCTGTCAGGCCATCGTCTCTCCATCTGCTCTTTTGCCCATCCATCCATCTGTCGATCTATTTAGCTATCTATCTTTTGAAATTTCTTTCTATCTACCTATCTATTTATCTATCTATCTGTTTGTCCATCTATCTATCTATTCATCTGAACTATCCATCCATCTATCCATCCATCTATC